AATGATAACCATCTTGACAAATTAATTGATTTATTTAATTAAATTAAGGATCGGAACTTGCATTTTAGAAAATAGAAGTTAATCAATATTTGAAAATGCATGAATTTTTATGATAAAGAGCCAATCTCTATTAAATTCAATATAATAAATTAAAGAAATTTAAATAAAACATAAGTCTTATTTCTAATTTATATAGAATATGAAAATATGTTATGTCCTCATCTTATTTCAAATTAAATCATTAATTAATATGAGAATTTAAAGTCTGATATACTGATTAATATTATCTTAAATGATTGAAATTGCATTTTAATACAGTAATTTGTCATAAAATTCTATAGTGTATTTTTTCTCTATTGTTCTAGAATTTTCAAAGTATTTCAATATTTTTAATGACATAATTTAATCGATGATGGTTTAGGTTAGATAATTATCTACTTTTAATTTAATAATAGGCTCAAAGGTTTATCTCAATGAATCATTAATAACATTTGTAATTTTGATACATGAATCGTTATATATTTCTTGGTACTTTCGTTCATAAGTTTATAACAGTGTTTAATATTAGTGTTCGACCTAATTCTTATCTAGCCCTAAGTCTAACCAAAATCTTAAATTTTTTCTTAATTCTTTGATTACTTCAAACAATAATTAATTCAGAACAAAAGGATATTTATCATAATTTGAAATCAAATTTTATAAGGTATCCTTAATTTTCTCTTATTTATATTTTCTCTTTGAATATTAGTAATTATCAATTATTTTATCATCAAAAGAAATTGTTTAATAATTAGAGTCAAATTCATTATTTTTAAGCAACCTGTTTATGGTGTCAATAGTATTTTATATGTCTTACCGCTCACAAGATTCAAGAATAACTTTATAAATTTTATTTATTATCACATCTTATGAACTGCCTTTTTTATTGCAAACTATTTTATTTTAAATAAAATCTATGATTATGTTAGTGATAATTTATTGTATTTTTTTTGAGTCATCGCATTCTTGTTCTACAAGATATTCATTAAATTTATTCTTATATCCTGTAAAAACAATTTCATACTAAATTTTTTTATAAGTAATAGTCAGATATTGATTATGTTCGAATTTCAACCATATACGATCTTAGTCTAAATAAGAGTGTTAAAATTTTTTTCTTCTCATGAACGTCACTTTCTCTAACAAGTGAATGAAAAGCTATAACACCTATCCCAAATGAAATCTAATGAAACCCATTCTCTAAAATATCAAAAAATATAATTACTATTAATTCTATCAATTCGCTTAATAGAATACAGTTGGATTTATTTATCTTGTATTCAATAACTTTCTCATCTTCATAAAACTTTACCTCACCTATTGAATCGTAGGTAAGTATTTCCTTCAACTATTGCAAGTCTTGATACGAAAAATATTGGTAATATTCATACTTCAGCCCTAACATTAATAAAAATTATAAATTATATTAATTAAATTTTTAAGTTCACTTGTTTTGATGAGCTTGAATTCAGCTATAGTAATTTGATAATATCAAATATTATCATACTTATAGAAACTTATTAATATTGAAATAATTTGATAATTACAAATGCTATATTAATTAAATTCTGTTCTAATTGATTACTAATATGCTAAAAAAAGGGAGCATTTAAGGAATTCTACATTTATAATTAAGAAATTAATCAAGTTTATAAAGATGTTAATGATCGAAATACAAAGTGGGTTAGCTAAAAGAAATTATACTCTAATTTTATTCTAAAATGGATTGCTTTTGTATAGACTTTAAATATTTATTAGTTAATTATCTGCTATTATATTTCCTTATGTTATTAATTTATATAATTTATTTTAGAAATAAATTTTGCTATTTGCACTATTTTTTATACAAATCAACTCATTTTAAATCCCTTATTTTTTGATACACTAATTTCTATGCAATAGAATTTGACTTCTTTATATAGCTTAACTTTAAAAGTAACAATAGAATTAACGGTAAGGCTTCGCTGTATTTTTAAGTTAGGTCATTAAGTTTCATCTTCTCTATGTTAAGTCAAATCTCAAGGCAATGGACCTGGTCTATTAAAGAAATATCTAAAATTAATGTAGTTCACCAATCCTTAAACGCAGGATTACAGTTAGAATCAGCATGGTGAAGAGTGTCCAAAACTGTGGAATTTCTAAATGCTTCTATCTGGTCATAAAATTCTTGTAATGGAGTGATTGATCTTGTGTATAACTCATTTAAACAAAATCTGATTGAACAAGGTAAAAGGGATTAAACCTAGAGATAACAAAATAACACAATTTTGTTTTAATAATCACAGATGAATAAATTAGATAACAATTGATGAGAAAATTCCATGTTTTATCCAACTACTTTATTTTGATTCTTAGGTTGTTTTCATTCTTTAAAGAGCTATACTTAAGCAAGTAAACGAACACATTACTTCTTAACCTAATAAATATGTTTCTATGCATTTTATTCTAAAAATCTCTTAATCTATTTTTATAATTATGTTGAAATCATCAAGAATTTTAAATTGTATTAATGTTAATAAAAAGTTAATAAATTTTAATTGGTTTTTGTATTAATATCTAAAAATTGAATTAAATGTAATTGAAATAAAATCAATATTGTCTTTTTCACTAAAATAAAAAGGAAAGGGAAAGAACGTCATTGATATATTTCATGCACTGAATTCTCTAAATCTAACTCATTATTTATAAATCAAAAATCTTATATAGTTTATATTTTATTTTTATTATAAATAGGAATATTATTTTTCCTTGAACTTACATCTTGACATTTATGGAATTAACATAGAAATTACAACATTATTCTATCTTATTACTTTATCCATCTAATTATTTCAATACAGAAGATCATAAATTATAAAATGATTACCTTTACTTCTTGTTACAACTCAATAATGTGCTTATTCAATTTTATTTCAACTATTTTTCATGATCCAATATTTACATAAAAATCAGGGTTTTCTTATATAGCATTTCGTTATTTTTTCTCACAGCAAACTATATTCAATAATAATTTACTCTATCTCTAGAAATATAAATAATTCTTGATACTATCATTAATAATCCAATTTCTTCCTAGAAATTTTATACTTTTACAACAAAGTCTTGAATTTATTTGATTATCAGACATAGTAATGCTATATTATTACATCAACATTCATATTTCCTGAATCATTTTCTATTTTTTTATTTTATCATATTCTAATAAATTAACTGTTGAATACCATCATAATATTTCCTCTCTTAATCTTATTTCCCAACTAATAGTAATATAGTGTATTCAGTGCTTTTCTTGCAATCTAATACATTGTTTTTCATTTAATTTCAGATTCTGAAATCTATAGTTATTATCAATATCATATTATTATAATTTTTTGATTTGCAATTATCTTTTCAAGATTTCTCTAAATTTAGTAACCAATCGATTCATTGTTCTTTAAGGTTTCAAAACTTGATACTAAATTAAAACTTATTCTTGATTAAATAGCGATTTTTTCTCAAAGTTTTAGAGGAGTAAGTTATGCTATTTTTATGTTTCTTCTATGAATCAATAGGATTTGTACATATATCGAGTAGCCATATATAAGCAACTAAATGAAATATAATTAAATAATATTATAAAAAATAAATATTATTTTTTCGATTTCCAATATTTTATTGAAAAAAATGGATATTTCGTTTAATAATCTGTAAAGGGTTTGTTGTACATTTGAATGGATTTCAAGAAAAAATGATGCACATTTTTTATTGATATTTTTTTATTTCAATTATTGTCTAATTTAAACTTGAATTATTGGTTAACTTATTTTATTGATTTTTTTTAGACAAATAAATGGAGTTAAAGATTTTAATGATTTTAATTAAAGACTATAATTTAGAAGAACATTGACGAGTAATTGTTTTAGGTATCATTATGATGATAAAAGTAAGAAATGCAAAAAAGAGAATTTGAAAAGATAAGCCATTATTAAATAATTAAATTAATAAGTTTTTGATAATAAAAACAATTTTATTTTTATTACATTTTCTAAACCATGCTCAAAGATTGAAACTGTAAGGAACAATGCCCTTATAGATGAACTGCATGTATATAGACGAAAGTTTTAAGAATTTAATATATTATAGGAGATAATGGCTTTGTGGGAAGCTAGTACTTTTATGAATCCCTATCGTAATCTGAAAATATGGTAAATCTTGATAAGATTACATATACCTTATGGATAAACATATATTAAAAACCAAAATTGACTGGAAGGTAAATTTTGTTTGGTTTTGTGGATGGCAACACAGATAATCCTGTAAACTATTAATTTACATTAGTATCTTAATTTAATGTTGTATTACTAATCTTCAGGGGGAAATTATAATCTGACTTTATCGAATTAGAAATAGTCTTCAGATATCCTTAACCTAACACGGTAAACATTTTATATATTAAAGGTATTCTGATCTTTAAATCAATAGTTGGTATCAAATAAGTAGTGTCTATAGATTAGAGCACAAGCAACACTTTTATTAATTTGAAGCTTTTTTCTACATAAGATTAAACGATGAATTCGATTCAAGATACTCTAGTGAATTAAAAGTAAGTAATTTCTTTATAATTAGATTAAAATATAATTTTGGGGTACATTCTAGAATAACAAATGAGTAATTATATAAGTCTTCTAATGATTACAAGGCATGTGTGAATATTGCTAATTTCTATTATATCAACGGATGGACAACAATGGATTCAGATATTTATTTGGACTATGATTTAGAATTGAAATTCTTTTTAAAGCCTTATCAACTCAAAGGTCTTAATGTATCCGATTAATTTATGAATGTAAATCTTAGAAAATAATCAAACCCAATATTTTATAGTGATTCTATTGGATTGCTGTTATTTAAGAATACACAAATTGTGTACACTTTTATGGAGAATCTAGTTTCCCTAACTATGATGTTTTGGATTAAACCATAAAATATAGTAGCATTTTTTTAGTTTATTTCTTTGACTGATGATGTATTGAAACAAGTAAGCATAGGTTTTGGCGTCAATTTTGACTATAAGTTATAATTTCATTAAAATTATGGTAATTCCACATTAGGTTTACTAACCGATAGCACTTGGGCTCATGTGACAGCTGGTGTTTTGGAGCTAAGTTATGATGCTAATTTTATTCCAACAAATTAAAAAAAACTATTAACAGTGTATATTGATGACAATTAGGTATAATAGAAAACAATTAACAACGTAATTGCATTTAAAAGATTGATATTGGGACCTACAGCTACTGGTAATTTTGGAGCAGAAATGATTGATATTTAAGACATCAGAATATTCAGAGGGTATGGAATTTTAACAGGCAGAGGGGATTGTTTATTATTTGTTGGTGCATATTGTGCATTCTGTTCACCTAATACTCATTATTGCAAAGAGCAAGATCCAAATGATGATATAATTATCTTTAATTGTGCAGCTGGTTATAAAGAAACATAAAGTGGTTGTTTTCCTATAGCAATCTAGAATTGTCTTAAACAATAAGGATCAGGTTGTATAAATTGTGCAGATAATTATTAATTATAAAACGGATAATGCTATAATTGCTCAGATTCTAATGCAATATTTTGCAAAAGAAACATAACGAATTCAATAAATAACAAGATTTAATAGAGCAAACTTTGTAAAATAGATTTTAACATTTAGAATAGTGCAGCTTATTGCCAAAAAGATTCATAAAATAATTGCTAGTAGGCTCAATTCTATAAAAAATTTTATAAATGCAAAACTGATATCTATTTAACAGAATTAAATACCTGTCAAAGTACATGTACACTTAATAACAAATTTTAGTAAAATCAAGTTTGCTTAAAAAAGTGTCCAGGAAAATATTTATATAAATAAGATTGCTTCAATACATAAAAACTACCTGCATACTAATGTAATAGTGCGAATAATTGCAATAATAACGAAAAAAAATATTGGGTTATTATTGTCTAAAATGAAAAAGAATAAAGTGGTCAGTACTTACAAAGTTGGTGGCATAGTTATAATTTTAATGATTGCGACTTATCCTGTAAATATTGTTTTGGAGGAAAAGAAACTAAATGCTTGGGCTGTTATTATAATAAATTCTTTAGTCCTTATGACACAAAATACGTTAGTGATTGTAATACTCTTAGTTTATTTAAATATAATAATCGAGATACTATGGTTTGTGAATTAGAATGTCCACCACCATATTTAACATAGGGATTAGAATGTGTGAAGTCTTGTACAAATGGTTATGCTATTTATAATAACACATTATGTTTACAATAAACTCAAGTTACAGATAATTTCATAGAGACTTAGTATAATTCTTCACAACCAAAAACTATATTTGCTAATTGTCCTTAAGTTTGCTAAACATGCACAAGTTATACATATTGTACTAGTTGTCTAAATCATTATATTTTAAACTAAAATAAATGTCCTACCACATGCTACCCACAATATCTCTATATTGATGAATATGGTGTGAGTGTCTGTTTAATTAATTGTGATTCATCTGATTATGTATATGATAACGCTAATATTGATGGATATTAAATTAGACAATGCTTCAAAATTAAATGTGGCTCCATTTAGATTAATAAGAAGTAATAAACTTATTTACACTAAACTAAACCTCTAATTTGTGTGTATCCATGTGAAGATCAATATTATGTTCAATAAAACACAAATTAATGTGCTAAATGTGACCCTATTTGTTAAAATTGTTAAAACTCAGCAACATTTTGTACTAAATGCTGGCCAGATATATTTCTTTAAGATAATAGTTGTTTCGTTTCTTGCGATTCTAAATTTAAAAATTATATCAATAATCAGTGCGAAGGATCGTGCTCCAGCGGATTTACTATCAATGATAAAGTTGCTGGCATTATTATTTAGGCCTGTGTCAAATTTTGTGGGCATATATTTTCTTAATTTACTTATGTACTCGATACTCAATGCTATCAGTCTCCTCCTCTGATTGGAGCATATTGCATAGGCTTTTAGTGTTATAATTGCTATTATAAATGCAAGACTTGTTCTGGTTCTTAAAGTAATTAATGTTTATCTTGTTATGATTAAACATTTTTGTTAAATAATTAATGTGTACTAGATTGTAATACTAAGTTTTATGATTTGTTAAATTGGATTTGTGTTGATGTTTGTCCAAGCAATGCATACACTACATCTGGCTATTAATTTATTAATACAAATTATATACTAGTAACATCTTGTTCCTCTACATGCCTATATAGTTAATACTAATATAAGAACTAATGTACTGATTCTTAGCCAGATGGAACTTACTGCAAACAAAAGACTAATTATAATTTATGTGATAAATGCACAGCAGTATATAAAACATGTTTTGATTCCTATTCAACTACTTGTTATGAATGCAATCCAGGATCATATTTATACAATACTACTTGCTCTACTGAATGTCCTGTGGATATTCCTTATAAAGATACAATTAATAATATGTGTGTTGTAACTTGTACCAGTTATTAATAAGATGGATATTGCGTTGAAAGTTGTTCAGATAATTATTACATCTATGATGCTGACAAATAATGTTATCAATTTGGTTGTCCAGAAGGAACATACAACCAAGTTACTACATTTTACTGTTATGGCTGTTCTCTTGGATGTGCCACTTGTACTGATGGAATCATCAATTCATGTATCACATGTATATAAGGATATTTTCTGCAAGGTGTATCAACATGTACAGATGTCTGTAATGTGAATCCAGATATTGTTTAAGATTGGACTAATGGAAGATGTGCTAAATCGTGTCCAACTGGAACTTACATGCAAACCTTACCTAGTGGGAATTTAGCATGTAGAAACACTTGTCCTGGATATTATTATTCGAATATTTGCGTCCCTGCATGTCCTGCTCAAACTTTTCCTGACGGAATAGTTTGCACTTCATATGCAGGACCTTGTAGTGTGTGTTATGGTGAATAAGTTAACCAATGCACACAATGTGATTCTGGATATTACTTGGCTGATACTACTTTTGTTGAAGTATGTCCAGATACAAAACCTTATGCCAACCTAGCTAATTAAACTTGTGTTTCAACTTGCCCAGATTATTTGTATTTAGCTAAAAAAATCTGTTTTAGCCCTTGTCCAACTTTCTTATCTATTTATCAATTAAATGGTAAAAAAGAATGTGTTGATTCATGCTATTCTAAATCTTATATATCTTTAGGAATTTGCTATCCATGCGATTCCATTTGAAAAGAATGCTATGGACCTATAAATGGAAATTGTTTATAATGTGAACCCCCTAACTATTTATATTAATAAAAATGTACTTTTACTTGTCCATCATAATCATATACTGACTTAACAGATAGAATTTGCAAATAATCTTGTCCACCTACTACTGTTATATAAGGTTAATATTGCAAATCGAATTGTGATGTAAATAATTTTTTGTATGGTTAACTTTGTGTTGCAACATGTCCAACATTTACTTACAAATCACCATCCGAACTAAAATGTTTACTTTGTAATTCTGTATGTAGGTCTTGTAATGGACCTTTAGTAAGTTAGTGTTATTCTTGCATAGAAAATTATTTATTAAATGGTAATACTTGCACACAAACTTGTCCAGACTTATATGATTATGAGGATTAAAAATGTATAAGCACTTGTGGTACAAAGTACGAATTAACTGATTTCAAAAGTTGTGTGACAACTTGTCCAACTGGATACCTAAAATGTATTAAAAAATGTTTGATAACTCCTCCCGATGGATATTATTCAAATGGAGATAGTTGCATTAATGCAATAGTAAATGTAGCTAATGCACATCCAAAAATGTATGTTAAGCATGTAGTAAAAACTGCTATCTAACTTTGTAAACCTGTTCAAATACTTGTATTAATAAATCTCTTTATATGGATTCAACAACGTAGACTTGCGTTACTAAATATCCACCCTAACTTTATCATTAAGAATCCTATGATAAAAGAAGTTGCGTTGAGGATTGTGTTATAGGCTATAAATTTAATGATTAATGTGTAAGTTCTTGTCCTAAAGGAATGTATATTAAGAATAAATTCTGAACGAATTGCCCTTAGGCATGCGAAGAATGTACTTCAGCAACTAATTGTACTGCATGTGTTTAAGATTATTTTTTGGAAAATGGACTGTGTTAATTGAGCTGTTTGATTGGTAAAACAGATTATAAAAATCATGCATGTGTCTCCTAATGCGATCCACCATTATTTGAATATCAAAAATTAATGTTTAGAAAACTGTCCCACAAATCCAGTATTTTATTATCATTCAAATATCTGTATGGATACATGTCCAAATAATACATTCTAGAATAATTAAGAATGTCTTGATTGTGACGTATCATGCTCATCATGTATTGGTCCATCAAATAATGATTGCCTAGTTTGCGAAGAAACCTATTATTTACATGACTAACAATGTACTCTTACTTGTCCTTATTTATATAATGATGTAGATAGATCTTGTGTTATATCTTGTCCCCGAAATCTTCTTTTGGATGGAAATAAGTGTGTTTTGATTTGTAGTTTATACATGTACTCTAACACCTGTTTATCAAACTGTCCATTGGGAACATACGATTCAAATTTCATTTGCTACGATTGCTCTTAGAATTGTCTTGAATGCGATTCCTTTGGTTGTAATAAATGTGCAAATGGATCGTTTTTAAATGATGGAAGTTGTAGTAATTATTGCCCATACTATTACAATGTTGTTTTAAATAAATGTGAATAATTGTGTCCAGAAGGAACATTTCTTCATATTGATCAATGCTCTGCATCTTGTCCAGCAAATACATATATATATCTTTAAACATGCATTGCAGACTGCCCTTTTAAAACTATTTTAATAGATTCTATTTGCTACTAATGCCCAGAGAGATGTTTAGTTTGTAAGAATTAATATGAATGTCTAAATTGTGAAGAGCCTTATTATTAATATAAAGGAGAATGTGTAGTGGCATGCCCAACAGCACTTCCCTATTAAAATAAAATTTATTATGCATGTTAATCAGAATGCTCTCCAAATACATACGAAAGAGGGTATGACTGTGTTAAAGAATGTGATTTAATCATCTATTAGAATAAATGTTTGAAACAATGTCCCTATGGATATTATGGGAGTATTATATGTAAGCCGTGTAAATTGGAGTGCAAAGCTTGCAATGACTTTAATATCTGCACAGAATGTTCAGAAAATTTTTACCTTGAACGTAATTAATGCGATACTTAATGTACAAGAATCAAAGATTTGAAATAAAAGAAATGCGTTGATTCATGCTCTTCACTTTTATATCAAAATGTGTGCTATGAAACTTGTCCAATAAACACATATCAATATGCAAATACTTGTCTTCAAAAGTGCTTAGATGGATATTTTGGTTCAACAGAATTCAAATGTGAAAAATGTAGTTCTTAATGTATCACATGCACATCTTTTAATTAATGTAATAGTTGTAAAATTGGATATTACTTATATCAGTAATAATGTTTAGATTAATGTCCTGGCAAATTATTTTCAAATCCATCAACCAGTTAATGCTCATAATCATGTCCAGATAAATTATATATCTTTAATAATTAATGCTTGTATTAATGTCCAAGTGATTATGTTAATGACACTGAAAATTATAAATGCGTTTCATCTTGTGGCAAATAGCAATATCTTACAAAAAACAGTTGTTATCCCTGTTCATTTGAATGCGATTAATGCACAGCTTATGGAAATAAAAATTGTATAGCATGTGCAAATAATTATGTTTTGACTGAAGATGGCCATTGTTTTGGAAAATGCAAAGCTGGTTATTATTAAACATCTAATTCTTGCGAGCAATGCTTACATAAATGTCTCACTTGTTAGAATGGCACAGAATGTATATAATGCAGAGGAAATAATAGAGATTAAATTGATTGCTCATGCCCAAAAGGATTCTATGATGATTCATTCTATGATAATTGTTAAAAATGCCCATGTGAGGAATGTACTTCTTAATCTGAATGTCTAGTATGCAAAAATAATCTCTAAGTTCCCAACTGTTCATGTAATAGAAGACTTAATCAGGATTGGTGTATTACTTGTTAAGTAGCATCTGTAAAGATAAATTATTCAGATGATCTAAATTCGATCATAGTTTATTTTGGATATATGATATCTGTTAATTTAATTAACCCTTTCTAACCCTCAAGTTGTTCTTTTTGGTTTACAAATGCTGAAATATTTGGATAAGATGCTTAATGCTATTTGTCTTGGGACAGATATGCGGTTCACATCTTATTAGAACCATACGCTTCTGTTAATGTTGGAGATAAATTGAGTTTCTAATAATCTTTTTATCGAGATGTAAATCAAGGTCTTTGTGATGGATAATATATTGAGATATTTATTGATAGTGCTGTGAAGGAACCATAAGTCTAAACTAAACCTTATATACTTTTTGATGTACCGTCTGTTGTAAGTACTTGTAAGACTATTGAGATTAAACAAATATTGCTTGAAGGAACTGCAAAGAAGATCCAAGAGGTTCTATTTTGGTCTCTTCATGAAATGGATAATGATGATTATTATTTGTAAATGGATGCGTTCTTAGCAGATTAAAAAAGCGAATTCATCATTCCAGTAGGTACCCTAGCATCTAATGTTACATATACAATAACAGCAAAATATATGAATTTCTTAAAAAGGGTGAATTTCACAACTTTCACATTTACTACACTGCCAGACTTAGTACCTTATGTCTTTCTATAATATAATCCTTTGATAGCTAGGGTATATGTTTTGATTGTAAAGTCTCCTATTCTGATTTGAAAAATGAATTTAATTTGGCCATTCAAATTTCTGATTCCAATAATAAAACTTACCTTTCCATACAGCAATCAATTAACCCAATTTATGAAGTCCCATTAAATGAAAGTCTCTTTTA